TTGGGATATGCCTATATATATAGAGAAAATGCAAGGCAGGTATCAGGTGTCTTTGATTGGAGATTGGCATTTTTCTTCCAGGCATTTGCAATCCAAGCGCTTCCAATCCAAGTCTTTGGCCGGTTAATTCCAATGCCCCCCAGCCACCTAGTTCTAAGGGCCACATCTAATAACATATAGAGCCTTGATAGTACAGGGGTTTAGCGCACCCTGTTATTAACACAGCTGCCTGCAATTTACTGCTGGTTCGAATCCCTCCAAGGCTCAAGGTTGACTCAGCCTTCCATCCTTTCTAAGGTAGGTAAAATGAGGACCCAGATTGTGGGGGCAATAAGCTGACTTTGTATAAAATACAAAAGTATGAAGGCTATTGCTTAACGCATTGTAAGCCGCCCTGAGTCTCCGGAGAAGGGCGGCATATAAATCGAACCAATAAATAAATAAATAAATAAATAAATAGGAGCCTTGGTAGTACAGTGGTCTAAGGCACCCTGTTATTAAGCTGGTTATTAAGACCAGCTGCCTGCAATTACTGCAGGTTCGAATCTCGCCAAGGCTCAAGGTTGACTCAGCCTTCCATCCTTTCTAAGGTAGGTGAAATGAGGACCCGGTTTGTGGGGGCAATAAGCTGACTTTGTATAAAATATACAAAAGTATGAAGGCTATTGCTTAACGCATTGTAAGCCGCCCTGAGTCTCCGGAGAAGGGCGGCATATAAATCAAATTAAAAAAAATATATATTATTAGATGCTGGGAATTTTGGAACCGAAGGGCCTTAACACCTGGCAGGCTTTTGGCCAGAAGCTCCCCCACCGATCCTCCCCTCCGCCCCTCACTTGCAGGCTCCAAAAGAGCAGGCCAGCCTACGTTATCTCCCCGCGGGATGCCCGGCCTGACGCACAGCGCAAAATGCCCACCAGACGCTGCAGGCGCAGCCCACAAAAGGACACGCAACCCGGCTCAGGCCAATTCCTTAGCAACCACGACAAGGCCGCCCTGAGCTTTCCGAAAAGCCACGCAAACTTCTTTGCAAGCCCGGAAGAGCTCCGGGTGAGGAGGCTGGTGAAAGGGGGAGGGAGAGACCCAGGCTGCCCACCGGCATTCCGGTAAGGCGTGGGGGCTTGGGAACCGTCCCCAAGAAGCGGGAGAGAAACGCCCCTCGCCTTCCCCCCACTCCTCGGCACTCACAAGAAGAGACCCAGCAGCATGGCGCGCACCCCCACTTCCAGCACCAGGGCCAGCCCCGCCCGCGGGACCGGCCGCATCCTCCGCTCCTGCTGCGGCTGCAAGCCACGCGGCGCGCGCGCGCGCGCTCTCGCTGGCGTCCCGGGGAGGAAAGAGGGGCGGGGCCTCTCTCGCCTCCCCCCCTCCTCCTCCCTCCCCCTCCCCCTCCCCCTTCCAGAGGCGAGCAGCGGCGTCAAAGCGGAGTGAGTCATCCGGCTGAAGTGGGGGAGGAAGAGCGCAGGAGGCGCTGTTCGTTTGGCCCCTTGCATTAGCCCGCTTTGGGGAGGGTTTGTCTGTAGCTGGGGGGGGGGGTGGAGAATTCTTGGTGCCCTCTGAGCTTAGTTGTTGGCTTGGAGACGTTGCATTACCTGACGAGGTAACAACATCACCGCACAGTCACTCAGGCACTAGTCACTTCCCGCCTGGACTACTCTACATGGGGCTGCACCCGGAGGCTCCAGCTGGTCCAGAACGCGGCCGCGCGGGGGATTATGGGGGCGACGAGGCGCTCCCATGTGACACCTCTCCTGCGCGAGCTGCACTGGCTCCCGGTGGTCTTCCGGGTGCGCTTCAAGGTGTTGGTGACCACCTTTAAAGCGCTCCATGGCTCAGGGTCGGGCTACTTACGAGACCGCCTTCTGCCACCAATAGCCTCCCACCGGCCAGTACGCTCGCACAGAGTGGGCCTCCTCAGGGTGCCGTCCGCCAGACAATGTCGGCTGGCGACCCCCAGGGGGAGAGCCTTCTCTGTGGCGGCACCCGCCCTCTGGAACAACCTCCCCCCCAGAGTTATGTACAATAACAGACCTCCGGATTTTTCGTCGGGCCCTGAAAACCTATTTATTTCAACTAGCTGGGCTGGCTTGAGTTAAATTTTAAATTGATTTTAAATGGGGTTGTTTTAATTTACGGCCAAAATATTTAATTATTTTAATACTGTTTTTAAATTTTGTATGCTCTGTTTTTTACTTTGGCTGTTCACCGCCCTGAGTCCTATTTGGAGAAGGGCGGTATAGAAATGGAAACAAACAAACAAATAAATAAATAAACATCAGGGCAAGTGAGTGTGGGGCAGGGGTGAAATCCAGCAGGTTCTGACAGGCTCTGGAGAACCAGTAGCGGAAATTTTGAGCAGTTTGGAGAACTGGCAAATATCACCTCCGGCTGGCCCCAGAGTGGGGTGGGAATGGAGATGTTACAATATCTTTCCCCTGCCATGCCCACCAAGTCACACCCACAGAACCCGTAGTAAAAAAAAATTGGATTTCATCATTGGTGTGGGGTTTGCTATAATGAAATGACTGATCAACTCCATAGATGTACAGGTTACAACAGTTCATTTAGTGACTGGTCAAAGTTAACAAAGCACTAAAAAAGTGACTCATGACCATTTTTCACTCTTACCACCTTTGTAGCATCCTCATGATTATCTGATCAAAATTCAGATGCTTGGCAAATGGTTCATATTTATGACTAGGGGTGAAAAGCTTCCGGTTTTGACCAGATCTACCGATGCAGAAGCGATGGCGGCAGGTGGTTTGGAGAACTGGTAGCAAAAATCCCTGGCCCCCCCATGCCCAGTTGAGCCGCACGATCATCAGAGGCTTTTTAAAAAAACTTTTAAAAGCATTTTTTCTACAACCTCTTCGGCTGAAAAAAAATGCTTTTAAAAGTTAAAAAAAAACCTCTGATGATTGCGTGGCTCAGCTGAGATCGTCAGAGGTTTTTAAAAGCATTTTTTCTGCAGCCTCTTAAGGTTGTAGAAAAAATGCTTTTAGAAGGAAAAAAAAAAGTTGCCCACACCCACCCAGACACATTACCCCCACCCCCACCAAGCCACGCCCACAGAACCGGTAGTAACAAATTTTGCATTTCACCACTGTTTATGACCATCATTTGATCCCCTTTTGCGACCTTTTGACAAGCAAAATCAATGGGGAACAATTCACTTAACAACCCTGTTACTAATTTATCAACTGCAGTGATTCACTTAACAACTGTGACAAGAAAGGTCGTAAAATGGGGCAAAAATCACTTAACAAAGGTCTCACTTAACAACAGAAATGTTGGGCTCAATTGTGGTCGTAAATCAAGGACTACTTGTATACAGTAATAGCCTCTCATTGATAATCCATGGTTAACCAGAATTAACCAGAGTTAACCAGAATAAGACTACCAGAAAAAGGTGGCAACAATCCGTTGACCACTAGGTGGCCCTGTTGACATTGCATAAACAGGAAGAGAGAACCTGCAGCTTCACCTCCTAGTGCAGTGTTTCTCAACCTTGGTAGCTTGAAGATGGGTGGACTTCAACTCCCAGAATCCCCCAGCCAGCAGCGCTGGCTGGGGGTTTCTGGGAGTTGAAGTCCACCCATCTTCAAGCTTCCAAGGTTGAGAAACACTGTCCTAGTGGATCCAAGGTGAGGGAGGGAAGGAAGCTCCAATTCAGCAACATCTGGAAAGCCAGTCTGGCATTTAGATTTCTTGCAGCTGTTGCTGAGATGGCACTTCTCTTCTTAGGAGTTAATCAAATACTAAATTAATGATTTGTGCCTGATTTCAGTAGGTGGTAGCATCTGGTCTTCTATGTCTGAACTCAAGACCTAAATAGGGTCAGGTTCTTTCTAAAAGCAGAATTCAGAATTGCAGTTTCCTTATACAGTGTAGTCTGAATCGGTCTAATACATTTAGTATGGGCTTCTTAAAATCTTTTATTGCAAGGAACTGAAATCCTGATGTATTTTAACCACTCTTTGGAAATGGAAGTGACCCACGCCATTTTATACACAACACATATAGTTTGGACTGATGTCAGAGAAGCACTATTCTAATTTCTAATTAAGGGTTGACTGCCAAGCATCCTTGCTAATGGAATCATTTATCTAAAAAGTATGTATTGATGGGGGGGGAAAGGAATTGTATGTGTGTATTGCTTTTACTTTGAACCTAGGAGATTTCTTATACACAAACCTTTGTGGTACCATATTATTCCATACTGATTTCTGTCACAACTGACCAATGTCAAGCTGTCTCCTATTCTTCTTTGTGCAGGTAGTCCTCATCTTACAACAGTTCATTTAGTGACCTTTCAAAGTTAAAATGGCACTGAAAAAGTGACTTATGACTGTTTTTCACACTTATGACCATTGCAACATCCCCATGGTTCCATGATCAAAATCCAGATGCTTAGCAACTGGTTCATACTTATGGCCATTGCTGTGTCCCAAGGTCATGTGATCAGGTCACCTTCTGACAAGCAAAGTCAATGGGGAAGCCAGATTCCCTTAACAAACATGTTGCTAACTTAACAACTGCAGTGATTCACTTAACAACGGTGGCAAGAAAAGTCATCAAATGGGACAAGACTAAGTTCACTTCACAGCTGTCTCACGTAGCAACAGAAGTTTTTGGCTCAATTGTCATAATTCGAGGACTACCTGTAGTTTGTCTCCAGCTGGATGACTGCACCTAGCCAGACTGGGCTGATCTATAAGCTAACATTCAGATGTGGCAAATATGAGATGGGAATGGGAGATCACCAAGGAATGGGATAGGAAATTATCAAGGAATCTGGTAGGCTATGCTGCAAAGTCAAAAACTATTCCAGAAGAAGGTAGCAGCAAGCCAAGTACTCATGGACATCTGTGACATCCAGGAATTAAGTACAGCTTGACTTGATTTCATTCTCAACCCACTTCTCCAGAGACTGAGAAAATCCAAGATGTGAATTCCTATCCACATTTTTTCCTTTTTCTTAAAAGACACTGGAAACTGAATGGCATTTGCAATATTTGCTTTAATTTGCAGTTGAGCAAAGATAGAGACACAGAATGGACATTTCAACAGCGAATAAAATCCATTTTCTCACATCGGATGCCTAAGAAATCATCCTGCATTCTCTTAGGATTCCAAGCTCAATTGTTCGTATTTGGATTCACATAATGTATTAATCATTTTTTCTTTCTTCCTTTGGCTATGTGCTGTGAAATCAATCCACTATGATTTGAAAATCATGGTTTATAACAGTGTATGGTAGTAACCCAGACTATTCAATTAATCATAACTAAAACATAGCTAAAACACAACATGGAAACTATATAGCTAGCCAATAGCATAATGTACAAACAACCTTAGCTCATTGTTTTTAAACTTCTTGTATCCAAAGTCAAATCAATCTATCAAAGAATGAGAGTTCCCAGAAAATAGAAATAAAGTGTCTTGCTTTTCCAAGAAGAGAGAGATACCAGATCTTCTGTTATACTGTATGTGCCAATTATAACAAGTTTTCAAGGCATTAAAAATTGCAATGGTACTATTAGCAATATTTCTCTAAGATGGAATTGATGCACTGTCTGCCCCTAAGTCCTAACTTAACCATTTCCCCCCTCTATATAACCAAATGAAAAGTTAACGTTAAATACTGCAAAATGTTAAGCTTATTTTTTAAACCTAAACCTTGCTGATCTGGGTGGCTCTTTGCTCAGAGGACCCCACCTGGAGGCTATGATTTCTGGCCCCCTGCTCTGCTGTCCCATTTTGGGAAAGGAATTATTTGTCAACTAGATTACTTCTGTGGATCACCAATGATACATGGACTTCTGAATGAGAAACAATAGATAATTTTCTTAAGGGCTGGAAGGAGGGATTCTTTCAATCATGTTCTTTTTCTAATTGATAATTACAGGTATTCCTTGACTTATGACCAAAATTGAGCTCAAAATTTCTGTTGTTAAGGGAGACATTTGTTCAATGAGTTTTGTCCCATTTTACAACCTTTCTTGCCCCAGTTCTTAACTGAATCACTGCAGTTGTTAAGTTAGTATTGCAGTTGTTAAGTGAATCTGGCTTCCCCATTGACTTTGCTTGTCAGAAGGTCACAAAAAGTGATCAGATGATTCCAGGACACTGCAATGGTCATAAATATGAGTCAGTTGCCAAGTGTCTGAATTTTGATCACGTGACCATGAGGAGGCTGCAATGATCATAAGTGCAAAAAACAGTCATAAGTTACTTTTTAAAGTGTCATTGTAACTTTGAACGGTCACTAAATGAGCTGTTGTAAGTCAAGGTCTATCGGTACTGCTTTCAAATTGTTGAAATCAGATTTTACAATCAAATGTAAAAAAATATAACCCATAACATCACTGTTATAACATGCAGAGCACTGTGGGGTCTTTGGTGCTCTCTGAGCTTGCTGGTTTTCTTGCAGATGTTTCATTACTAAGCTAGGTAACATCATGCTAGCATTGATGATGTTACCTAGCTTGGTAAATTAAATGCCTGCAAGAAAACCGCCAAGTTGAGAGAGTACCAAGGACCCCACAGTTCAATCCTGAGCTACAAATATTCTCTATCAGTATCCAGATCACTGCTTTTCAAGTACAATAAATGAAGATGGCAGATGAGGAAGTCTTTGGTAGAAAATGGGGGCCATGCCAAACAACTCAAAGTGTTTGCTCTTGTCTTCTTTGTGGTGTATCTAATGGATGCTATTCCACTGATTACTTAAGAGATAATGGCACAGTTAATGGGAAGGAAAGTTCTAGCCAAGACTCTGATCAGAAAGACAAGATTAATGTGTACATTTGTCCACAAGGTCATACTACTACGATGGATGGAAAATGAAGAATCAGACTTTCCATTACTGACATAAAAAAGCTCAAAGCAAATATCAGTAGGCATCCACTTATGCACAATTTGTAGGAGAGGGTTTAAAATGGATGTTTCTTTTACATGGCCAAATCATAGTCCATGAGGACTTCTCTAGTCCCTGATGGTTGCTGACATTTATTGTAAACTGAGGTGATACATTGCACAAAGTCAGACTTTTCTATAACTATTATTTATTGATTGCATCACAATCGATTGGATTTGCATAACACCGTGAGCCAAAACCAAACTAATCCCAAGATGCTCAATCATAACCTGGCCAATTTAATCAAGCGTTGTGGTTTACAAGTTGAGAATTATGGTCTTCTTCTCCTTTGGATTTGAAAGTTTGGTTTGTAGTTATGGCAATTGGTTCATGCCATCTTGGCTGTGATGCATTTTCCATTGTACAAGATGACTCTTGGGGGTAAGTTAGCAAAACATATTAGTTGTGATGGAAACAAAATGAAGTAGAAGCCGTGCTTGAAAAGATGGTTTTCTTTAGGGGTATTTTTCTTCCCTTTCTTTATTGATAGCTAACAGGCTATGGTGGAGCTTCTGTTCACATGTAAAAATCTAGTGAATAAATGTAGGATTTATGAGAGCACCATTATTAATCATTTTCATTCTTAATTTCACTGAACTCAAGGAGACGATCCCATCTTGGTTTAAAATAGCGATAAAGAGATTTCATCTTACAGATAGACTTCATCCTTGGAGCAAAAACTGTCCTGGGTCTTATTTTTTACAAACTCAGTCGTAGTATATAATATATTGTGATTTATAAATTAGTGTGGCATTATATTTGTTATTTATTGGTGTTATGTTTATTTTACTTTACTATTTTATTTTCAAGCCATCTAGAGTCATGTGTTTGAGATTGGCATATATATATTAAATGGAGATCTGAAAAAAAAGATGACTGAGCTGCTCCTAATCATCCAGAAATCTTTGAGTAGATCCCAATCTGCTTAGGTCTACAGTAATTTCTCTAAGATGGTTTCTAAAATCCTATCATTTATATGTGGGCATTAATTATAATTCCCAGAGATGTCATTTGCACAACTGATGCCAAGTGATGCAAATTATGTAATACTCATCATGTGTGCAATTAGTATGATGCACATGATGGCACTTGCCTGTCTTCTTTCCCTGATATACATTTTCTTACCACACAAGAAGAAAATCTTTAAGGTGGTCAATGACCAGTACATAATGAAACTTGATAATATAATCTATCTATCTATCTATCTATCTATCTATCTATCTATCTATCTATCTATCATCTATCTATCTATTTATCTATCTATCATCTATCTATTTATCTATCTATCTATCTATCTATCTATCTATCTATCTATCTATCTACCTACCTATCATCTATCTATTTATCTATCTATCTATCTATCTATCTATCTATCTATCTATCTATTTATCTATCTATCATCTATCTATCTATTTATCTATCTATCTATCATCTATCTATCTATCTATCTATCTATCTATCTATCTATCTAATCTATTGCCATTATTTTCATTAATAACTATATTGTATTATACCTAAATAAATATGGCAAATATTAATTATAGACTAAGTAGACACATCTATAAGTTGGCTATAGCTTTTACACATGATACAGTGAGATATACTTACGATAATAGAAATCAAATAGATATAAGATTGAGATTATGTGGGATTATCCAAATATGTATCAGCATAAATTACATAAAATATAATTAAACATGATTAATAGTTTCAGAGGTGCCTAGAAAGAGAAATATTACATTCCAGAGTGACACTGATTGACAAAGCTCAAAGGCTGGTTAAAGCTAACCTTGATTTTTCTGACCTTAGTTAAACCACAGTTCTCTATATCATTCACACATTTACATCCCTGTGCATTTATAGCATGCACTTTTTCCTCCGTTGTGGGGAGCAGAATGGGGAAGCTGATGGTTGAATGAAAATTGGAAATGTCTGCACATAATTGACTAATCTTTTCCCTATCCATAGAAATTCAAGCATGGGGAAGGAAGCTTTGCTGTTTGCAAATTTCCTCTTTGGTTTTCATCGGACTTTATCCCATACTCTACTGTGAGCTAAGAATGGAGTAAGCCACAAGGCTCATCATTAGAATTTGACTGAAGTAATGGGCACTGCTAACATTTGAAGACCCTGGGCATGGCAGGCTGCAGGATTCATTGGCACACAAGTGATTGATCACGTGCCACATCACCCTCTTGCTGGGTTCGCTTGCATTCTTCCCATCGGGCAGGCTCAAGTTGGTCAAAGTGATGATGAAATCAACACATTCCTCAGTTCGAGTTTCTCTGCTCTCATTAAGACGGAGCGGCAAAGAACAGTTGGGGTAGAAAACTCCATTGGGAAACTCCTTGGTATTATCTCTGTAAAAAATGGTGTCATTGGCCTCCAGGGTCATGTTCTCAATCATTGCACTGCCATAGCAAAGATTTTTCAGGGTGGTGGAATTTTTGTTGGCATTTTTGAAGAACTTCCTTCTTCTATATGAACTGCTCCTTCTCACGCAGAGACCAACATCGCTGCAGAGGCCTGCAAGGAGGACCGTGACCAGCAGATTTTTCCACATTGTGAAGTCTTTGAAAAGAAAAAAAAGGTAAGTGCTCACATATTGCGTAAGTAGCAGTACTGAAAAAGTTTGGAAACCGTTGCAACTATAAGAATTCACCAAGTAGTTTAATTCTTGTTCTGCCTGCTAAGGAAAAAGAAACTTCCTTTGGCAAGAACAGTACTAAGTAAGAGCCTGCAGAAACTCCATTTTCACTTAAGATCCATATCCAACTAGATTTTTCTGCACTATCCAGCCAAGATCAAATTAAATCTTTACATCTTAGCCATAAAAAAAACCTAGTGTGTGTGTTGGCTCCAAAAACCAAGAAAGACATCTTGTGATTCTTTTCAACAGATTTTTTTTTGTCGCTAACCCATAGAGAGAAATCTTGCTAAACAAAAGCATGCTAACAGTTCCTTAAGGCATATACTCTGGGAACTATTAGGGAGGAACTGTCTTCACTCTGTGTCTCTCACAAAATATCTGAACTGAGTTGTCTCTTGTGCCTCTGGAATGCCCCTCCCCCCCACTGGGAATCCTGACTACATCCCAGTGTGCTTAGGTGTAAAAGGAGGAGTGAGACAGAATGGCAGATAACAGCAAAGACATAGATGAAATTTTATATTTATTTCTTGTTCTAAAATAACAGAAAAAGAAAAGGAATAAACACAGATGTAATTATGATCTATTCTAGAAAATTGTTTTTTTTTTAAAAAGTGAAAAAAATGCAAGAGGAAAAAGAATAAAAGCATAAGATATTGTCAAAACAGCCAACAGCTACAAATCTACATATCTAATGTAAATATTATCCAAGTGTATACATATTTATTTCTACTGGTAATACAGTATTTTTAACCTACTGTATTTTGTAGAAATGTGTTCCATGTTTCATTATACTTGTCCATACAAAGTCTACATCAGTAGTGGGTTTCACTTACCTTCGCTACCAGTTCAGAACTGTGAGCACATGTGCGTGCTCGCTTCTGCACATGCACAGAACGTCCGTGATAATGTCCGGATGGGTGGGCGGAGCCTCCCACCGCCACCGCTACCGGTTCTCCCGAACCGAAATTCTATCTACTAGGTATGCAATTCAAGATAATATCTTTTGACAACTTTAGCTTTTGTCACAACAACGTATTTATATAGTCCACCTCTTTTTCCCAAAACTTAGTAAATATTAGACGTTGTAAAAACGTGTTTTCAAGAGGCTCCTCAACATTTTGCTAAGATTACGTGTAGCTCCTGATGAAACCTGATACATTGTGCCTGCATCTGAAGATGCCCAGCACAATTGCCAGCAACATATGAGGAAATCTGTTGTCTAGATCACGGTCACGAAACTCTGAAGTTCAGCAGTACCAGCCATGAAAACCTACCCAGTTTCACTATTTTATATACTTTTATCTTTTTCAGTTGGACATTCATTTTTGTTTACACTTTAGCCCTTCAATTGTTGGCTTAAAAATTATTTCAAAGGTAAAAAAGCATTATAACCTGAAGAACGGAGTCTAAAAAGAGACCATGTCTTTTCCTGGAACAAGCTAGCAAACACACTGAAGCAAAACAGCTAAAAATGGACTCTTATCTAATAAGGAAAGAACTGAAGATACTTATGGAAATGTTTCCATCTACTAATAGATTTGCTGTGCTGGACTCTCAGCCTTTATCTACAGTTCTAACAGATTCTGTATGATCTCGTCCTCCGAATGAGTTAGGTCCAGAGAAAGCTTTCTACAACCATCTTTGGAAACTCACCATGGAGGTATGTTTGTAAATGCATTCTTTTTACAGCAGAAACAGTTATTTCTTTTCTTTGAGAAGCTTCAGTTAGTAAATAAGAAGCTTGATTACTGTGAAAAGCTGATTGGCACCCTGGGAGAGAGTCTTTGTAAGTATTCATTTGATTCTCCAGATAATTTTACTTTTTGTTTCTGGCTAGGCTCCCATATGGTCTATAAATCCTTTAGCAAAAGCTTCTAAACTGCACACAGTCAGAATGGATAGCTTTGTTCATACTATCTGGGGATGAAAAAGAATTGTAGTCCAACCTATCCAGGGAGGAAGGCTGCTACAATGCTGCTTAAGCACTACAAAGATTGAATACTCTTGGGAGTAACTTACCCCTCAGTAGGAATTATTCCTGATGGGCTTCTCTGGAAGTGTGTTCTTTGGAAAGGCAAGTCTGTATGCTCGAGGATTGATCTCTCTTGAAATTTATAATAGCAGGAGGGGTACTTTGAATGCCAAATATGGCCAATGTCTCAGAGGATCTGCCATCCCTGAACTCTGCGGTTACCATTTGCGATGCATTTTTTAGTTGAATATTTTTTTCTCGAGGGATGTTCCGAAACAGTGGAAAAAACCCCCCACCAGCCCATCACAGACTTCAGGCAGAAGCTGTGCTTTTAGTGATCATTGCAAAGAGAGAAGGTAGAATAAATTACATCCCTTAACATTAGTTTTAAAACTAGGAGTATATGATCATTACTTGGGAGTTTTCTGAAGGTCTTTTATGTGAAGGGCATATGCATACAATTCTAACAAAGTCAGATTGATACAATATGATGTCAGCCCAACAAGCTAGACCAGACTAAGAAATCAGTGCTGTATAGATCAGGATCTTTTATTGTAACAGCAATTTTAGTGGCCAAAATTGTGGGAACCTTTGGGAAAAGTGCATTTTTGAGGTTTGATGGCTAATAACACAACTTTTTTTTTTTTTGGAGTTTCAAGATAATCATATTCCACTGCTGGAATGGCCTGGGAATAGCCCAGACTTTAATCCAATTGAAAATCTATGGAGCCGACTAAAGAAACTTGTTAGTCAGAAGCGACCCAGCAATAAAACCCAGTTAATAGAAGCAATAATTCAATCTTGGTTTCACATTATAACAGCTGCAGAACTACAAGACTTGGTTCACTTCATGGGAAGATGGTAATTCATGCTAAAGGTTACCTAACTAAGTATTAACTGACGTAATAATTTTTGTATATCTTGCTTTTTCTATGGTGATAATTTTTGTATATCTCGTATTTTCTATGTGTTTCACTTCTGTATACTGTAACTACTATTCTAATAGCAAATTCTTCATAAAAGTTATTGCATTAAATTCTTGATTAAATTATCTTTCCATTGATATATAATTTTATGGTACTATTAAAAAAAAAGTGGTTATTAGCTAGTTTTAGAAAATACATTTCTCCTAAAAAGTTTCCACAATTTTGGCCACTACTATATAGTAATTGAACCATGTTGACAAAAAAGCTGGAACACTTAGTCACATCATTCACTAACCTTGAAACTTCAGCAAGCATATGTCTGTTGCTATGGAAACTTTTTTCCTAAATAAATAAATAAAATGGAATAAAACTAACACTATTGTTAAACTAATGCCTAATTGAATGATAGTGAAGAAAAGAAATGTAGATAGATATGTTGGTACCAATCAATTGTTTTCTTGTATGTTTCTGGAAAGGATATTTGCAAAGAAGTGATACATCCCTTTACATATATGATTCTGGGGGGAAATGGCAGCTGAAGATTTGGAGGCACAGTAGGAATATGATACTTCCTGGTGATCTAAACAGTAAGCCTGAATTTAAAAAGTGCCAACAAAAGGAAGAAAAAACAAATCCATATACTGATAGCTGCTGAATTTCTTTTCCCCATGCAAGATTTGGTGCATCATTTAAACTACCTTAATGCTCCCAGGATCCATCCAGGTGGACATTCGTTGCACTAAAATTAATCTTTTTAAAAGGTACAGTATTCAACTTTATCCTCAGAAACTAATATTGAATGGGTAGGTTTAGCTAGAAGCTACTGAGCCATCTGCTTTTTCTCAGAAGACTGGGAATTACTCATCAAAATATCTGATTTCCAAATCCATTTAGCAGAATGGTAATCTGTTTCAAAGGCTGCTTTTATCTGTTTTGTTTTGCAAGGTAAGCCATAGGTGATATTTGACACTGAACATGCTCCACTGAATTTGACACTGAATGCACTCCAATACTTGCTTAACATTAGACATCTGGATAAATATATAGGGGGCCACAAACTTCAATTAGATTATCTGATAGTCTGTAGAGATTCTCAGTCATCCAGGTCATGGTTGTCCCAAAGGTGCTTTTTCAGGAGGCAACTGGACTTTCTTGTTTTTTCTTTTGAAGAAGTTTCGCTTCTCATCCAAGAAGCTTCTTCAGCTCTGACAGGATGTTGGGGAATGGAAGGATTTATATTCCTTGCAGACAGCTGATAATTTGCATCCTTTTAGAGGGTCATTGAAGCACTTGGAGGTTTATCTGTGTCCTCAGGGTCACTTTGAGATTAAAGATTATCTAATGCAGTTGTCCCAATAATTTATTTCTATGATTATTACTGTTGTGGCTTTGCTGGGATGAAATTGGGAATGTTACATGGTCAAGTTGAAATCATGTCCATAACTGTAATTTGTGTTCTGTTCCTCAGATTGAATGAAGGAGAAGAAAAAAGAGAAAATTTGCACTGGCTGTAGATAGGAAGCACATCTTCATATATGTGAGGCATGGATGTTTGGAAAAAGAGTGATTAATTTCATAATAAGAGACAGAATCAGGAAATGGAATCAGATGCTCTGTCATCTGTCAAACACTCAACAGGTGTTTGACAGATGAGCCAAAACTTTTGCATCCTTAGAAACAGGGACCAGAGGCAAATGTTTCCTGCTTTTTCTCAGCACTCAATCCCTCTCATTTCCTAATCCAATTAGTAGAATGTGGTCCAGAGTCTTAATGGCAAATTTGCGGTCATAAACAACTGTCTGTTGCTTACACCAAACATGCCGCACCCACTTTTAGGAAAGAGAACTGAATTTGAGGATGTTCACTTTAGAAGCAGACAGGCAGGGAAACTGACTCTAATCAAATCAAATCAAATCAAATCAAATCAAACAAACTGGAGTCGCTACTAGATTGACAACAAACCTCACTCTCCCCTTGCATTACCTGCTTCCCCTGCCCATCTTTTAATCTCATATTATGGTATTTTCATTGTTTATTTCTTTGTTTTATTGTTTCACTATGTTGCTACTGTTACATTTTTCTTTTCATTCCTTGATTTTTATAGTAAATCACCTTGAGTAGCTCCATGGCGAGATACATGGCAAATAAATTTAACAAATAATAAAAGCAAGCAAAAGTAATACCAATAGTAATAGAGGTCTTGGATGCAATCCCAAAACAACTGGAGCATCACTTGAACGTTATTAGCATTGACAAATTCACCATCAGTCAATTGCAAAAGGTGGCTTTATTTAGAATAGCTTATATCCTACAATGATATCTTAGCACTATCAAACATCCACATCTGCCTCTCCCAGTTCCTTGGAAAAGACTCAATAAGTACACAAAAATGCCAAATCCAGTCCGAACATCTGGCTGACTGTGCAATGATCCATAATAATAAAATTCCAAAACAACTGGAGCACCACTTGAACACCGGCATTGACAGATTCACCATTAGTCAATTGCAAAAGACAGCTGTCAAGCCTGGAAGCCATCTTTTGCATTGGGCCTTCAGGCCTGCCACATTTACTACTGTGGGAAATTGGGAGGGGGGATTGTATGGAGCATGGGTGATATATAGTCATAATAACATTCCTTTCTCAGAGAGTCAAGGACATCCGGGAGTGCGGGAGGATCCCTTAGAAGGCAGGGCGGAGGATTTCGGACAATACCTGTATGACAAAATCGCTCAGATCCGGGGGGATTTGGACTCTGACTGGGTAGATCAGGGCAGGGTGACGAGGAACAGTCTTGAGAATGTTATCTGGGTGGAGTTTGATGCTGTGACTCCCGATGATGTGGACAGGATTTTGGGGAGACTTAGTGCGGCCACCCGTGTCCCTCCTGGTTGGTACTGGCTTCCCGGGAGGTTACACGAGGCTGGCTCCAGGGCGTCATTGATGCTTTGTTGAGTGAGGATCACTTCCCCGCTGCCCTGAAAGAGGCGGTGGTGAGGCCTCTCCTCAAGAAGCCGTCCCTGGATCCGGCAATATTGGCTAACTATCGTCCTGTCTCCAACCTTCGCTTCATTGCGAAGGTTGTTGAGAGTGTGGTCGCGCAACAGTTTCCGCAATTCCTGGAGGAAACATCCTATCTAGATCCGTTCCAGTTGGGTTTCAGGTCTGGGCACAGCATGGAAACGGCATTGGTCGCGTTGGTGGATGATCTCTGGAGGGCTCGGGACAGGGGTTGTTCCTCTGTTCTGGTCCTATTAGATCTCTCAGTGGCTTTTGATACCATCAACCATGGTATCATGCTTCACCGGCTGGAAGAGTTGGGGGTGGGAGGCACTGTGTTGCGGTGGTTCTCTTCCTTTCTCTCCGACCGGTCGCAGTTTGTGTTGGCAGGGGGGCAGAGGTCGACCTCAAGGCCTCTCATCTGTGGAGTGCCGCAGGGATCGGTCCTCTCGCCCCTCCTGTTCAACATTTATATGAAGCCGCTGGGTGAGATCATCCATGGCTTTTGGGTGAGATACCATCAGTACGCTGATGACACCCAGCTGTACATCTCCACCCCAGGCCACCCCAACCATGTCCTTGAAATGATGTCCCAGTGCCTGGAGGCTGTGCGGATCTGGATGGGGAGGAACAGGCTCAAGCTCAACCCTTCCAAGACTGAGTGGCTGTGGCTCCCGGCATCCCGATATAGTCAGTTGACTCCATCACTGACTATTGGGGGCGAGTCTTTGGCCCCCACTGAAAGGGCTCGAAATCTGGGAGTCCTCCTGGATAGGCAGCTGTCTTTGGAGGAACATCTGACGGCTGTTACCAGGGGGACCTTTTATCAGGTTCGCCTGATTCGCCAGTTGCGGCCCTTTCTCGATCGGGATTCCTTGTGCACAGTCACTCACGCCCTCGTCACCTCTCGCCTTGACTACTGCAATGCTCTCTACATGGGGCTCCCCTTGAAGAGCACACGGAGGCTCCAGCTGGTCCAGAATGCAACAGCGCGGGTAGTGATGGGAGCAACATGGCGCTCCCATGTAACACCGCTCCTGCGTGAGCTGCACTGGCTCCCGGTGGTCTTCCGGGTGCGCTTCAAGGTGTTGGTTATCACCTTTAAAGCGCTCCATGGCATAGGGCCTAGCTATCTTCGAGACCGCCTGCTGCTACCGACGACCTCCCATCGACCCGTGCGCTCCCACAGAGAGGGCCTCCTCAGGGTGCCATCAGCCAAACAATGTAGGCTGGTGACCCTCGGGGGGGGGCCTTCTCGGTGGGGGCTCCCACCCTCTGGAATCAGTTGCCCCCGGAGATAAGGAGAATCCATGACCTCAATGTCTTCCGTTGTTCCCTGAAAACCCATCTTTTCCAG